GAAAAGACAAGGAAAATCAAGAATTGGTCTATAATGTTACAGATCCATTGAGAAATTTTTATATAACACATTTAGCTGACAAAATCAACTATCAGACATACATCATAAGAATATCAGCTGTCAACACGCTTGGTGAAGGTCCAGTATCACCTAGTGTTATTATTAAATCAGCTGAAAACCGTCCAACTCGACAAGTGATGAATGTTAAGTGTAGTGCATACAATAGTACAGCGATGACTGTCACATGGGACATGATTGACGAAACTGATATAGGCGTTTTGAATGGTAAACTTTTAGGGTATAATGTTCGTTATTGGCAAGAAGGTTTAGTCGAATTAGAAAATTATTGGGATAGACGATTTCCTGGTCAACGTAGTCGTGCCATTATTATAGGTCTTGAACCAAATACAGAATATAAAGTGCGTATTTTTGTTTATACACAATTCGGTGATTCACCTGAGAGTAGTGAATTTTCACATCGTACATTTCGTTTACCTCCAATGACGCCGCCACAATACATATCAATTCGCCAACCGAGACGAGAAAAAGATCGCCGTGTTAGAATACTCAATGAATTATTCATGTATAGATTAGAAGTAGAATGGCGTGGAATATCCAATACGGCTGATGAAGAACCAATTGAAGGCTATATGGTAAGAAAGCTCTTTCTAACAATCATAAAAAATTAGAATATCACTTTTTATTTTAGATAAAAGTTTGGGAACATTATCAGAGTATAAGAAATGCCACTATCTATTATACACCAGCAACAAAATATAAATGGACAATTGAAAATTTGTATAAAAATCGAAATTATAAACTTCGTGTACAAGCATACTCATTAGGAGGCGAAGGCAAATACAGTTCACCTGAAAAAGAATTTCGATTTGGTAAGTTTTTTTATTTATAATATTCATCACTTATAAATTTTTATTTTCTTATTTTAGATAATGACGGTCGTTTATTAATATGTAAGTATTTTTTTTAATTCATCTACTAGATATGACATTAACTTGTTTGTATTTTATTTAGTATACAATCCAGATACTAGTTTACTATATCATAATTCAATATCATCTACCATTCCAAAAAAGCTATCAATATTTTTAATTCTTGTCCTATTTAAATTGACTATTAATTTATTGATATAGTTTATTCGATCTGAAAACAAGAGAAAATTATTTCAATATCTCATTGTACAACTGTCGAAAAATTATTTACATGATAATCTTATAATGCATTCCATTTATGTGTATGTGTGTGTGTGTATATATATAATTCCTCTTTGTTTTAGAATATTGTTTTTTATAGCCATTTTTTTTGTATATTTTTATACGATGCCTTTGTTTCTAATCAATTTGTTTTTTGTTTTCTTTTATATGACTTTTATCTGCAATCTCAATATTTTTTGTAGATGAAAACTAAATTTGTATTAAAATGTTTTCAGAACATGATGACACTATTATAATATTATGTATTTCTCTTTTTCATTTCTTTGCGCATTTCAATCCAATAAGAATGTTGTTTTATTACTTTGTTTTTTCTACATTCCGTTTCTTTTTTTGTTTTTAATCTTTTTATTCCGGTTTTTGTAGTCGTTAAACTATATTTTCATCATTTATGCTCATTATCATATACATAATTTTTTTTAGCGCAATAATTTGGTCTACTCGATTATCCGTCGTTCGTTTCGCAACTCTGTTTGTAGTTCATACTCTACTAGTTCAATTCATATTTTTGATGAAAGAGAGTTTTTTTGTTTTTTTAATCACATTCCATATGATCATTGTCAGTTACATTCTTCACTCTCATTCATATATGTGTGCAAATTTATGAAGATTTAAGATTAGAAATTTAAAAATACGTCCAAATACTATTTGTTTATCTGTTTTGATGAACAACGATAGATAATTGATATGTCTTTGTTTTGCGATTATTTCAAATGTTTGTTTTTTATGTTTCTTCATTTTTCACGTTTTCTCAGAGTGTATATAATACTTGTTTATCGGCTTTTGTTTTTATACAACTATTGTGTATAAATGACTATCTTCCTCTTTTTTCTTTTATAAAATAAATACTCTTAGTGATATTTAAGCAACAAATTAAAATGCCATTTGCAACAAACACAACACAAAGACTTTACTAACTAAAATATGATAATGAAATTTGATTAATAGTTCAAAATGTAGTAGAATTTCTTTGAAATCTCTCTTTTCTCTCATTCACTGTTAAATTACAAAAGATGATTAGAGGAGAACAATCGTTATCGGTCTCGATGAAGATATATACACGACAACAAATCAAATGAACTACCATTGGAAAAATATTTTTTCCTCTCACAAAATAGTATTCATGAATCATTACAAGCTTGAAGTTGGCTGTGAATTATACAATGTAAGAATATTTATTATTATTTATCTTCATTTTTCTTCTATTGACTTGTCGTATGACATTGAAACAGATATAGAAATAAGAAATTCTGTAGGTGTTTAGTTATAGATGACAAATCAAAATTTTTTAATTGTTAAAATTGATGAAAAATGTGAACGTGACAATTTCAGTTAATATTTTTCTTTAGGCTTCCTACTCTTTATGGATACGTATATATATTTATTCATCTTCAAGGATAGATTTGTACACTTTTTTTTATATATGAAGAAAAACAACTTAAAAACACATCTAGAGTACTCGGTATAAAACAGTTACATTACACCCTTTTTATTCTTTTCAATCCTAGATATAACTTTTTTTTTTCTTCTTTCACATTTCATTACAGAGAGTAAAAAAAAAAAACGAATACTTACGAGTTATTGTGGTTGTCATTTTTCTTTCTTTTTAATTATTGTATAAATCAATATGCCTTTTTTTTTATTCGCTTTCTTGAGCATTTTTTCTATTATATTGTTGTTTCTACCTCGTACTACGTTTATAAAAAAAGAAATGGCACTGTTCTGTTAATTCCAGTTTATATGATTATGCAGATGTGATAGAAGTCTAGTCATGTAAGTTTATATATTTAACATCTATCATAATATGTTTGAAATCGTGTATCCATCTTCTATTATCTCTCTGCATATTAAAGTTCTAACCAATAAGATAGAATAGTACATCGGGCGGAAATGAAAGCATTTCTTGTAACTAAACGCATCTCCTCCCCTCTTTCAAGAATCTTTTCATCCGATTAAGTCGGATATTGAAAAAATTTTGAGCCGATATTAAATATGTAAAATTTCAAGTCTATATTTTATGTAGTTCTAAAACTATAAGCACAACAAGGGTCATATTCGATCTACTTGAATTTAAAGATTCCTCCTTTTCCTTTAGTGTCACAATCTTCACGATGATTTTGCTTTACAGAGGCTTACAACGACGCACAGTTGGATTTTTGAAATTTTTTCTTGTTTTTCGTTGGTAATTTTATCACAAAACTATGAAAATTTTCTGTAAGATATTCTAAAGATTCTTGTTTTTCTTAGATCTTGAAATGAAAATCAAAAATCTGACTCTGTGACATTATAGCTGCAAGTTTCTTCTACAACAAAACTATCCGAAACTTTCTAGCAACAAAAGAGGAGAAGTCTTTTCATTTTGAAAGCGACCAAAATGACGCTCGATTTTGAGAAAATCGAGAAACAAGTTTCGCCATAATAGAATGTTTTTACTGGAGAAACTATTTCTTAGAAAAAAGGTAATATAACTTTGTCGCATGTTTTCGGATACGTTGAATCGAAGAGGCATATGCAATATATTCTTCGTCATATGCACATAGTACTTCAATGGAAAAGTAATACTTTGTCGCCTAAACAACACTGTCTCTAGGTTATTGACTATGAGAAATCTAGTGTATATTTGCATAGACACGTATTTTCGTATATTCAATAGATTTCTCCGCTCTTTCATTGAAAAATTAAATATTTCTTTAATAATTCAAAAAACTTACCTACGTGCATGTTCATGCACATGTGTACCGGATTTCTCATACTCAGTAACTGTACGATAGTAAAAAGGATAAAAAGTAACAACTTTTTCAAATATAAATTTCAGAAAACTTTTTAAAAAATTATAAAAAGACGTTATTAAAGAGATCAAAAGTAGGCCGTTATAAATTTTTCTCTGACCGTGTGTTTTCTCGAAATCAATTTTTTTGATCGGAGAAGAACCCTGATCTTTTTTCTTAACCCGTTCACTGGCACCCGGATATTCAAATACTATGCCCAATGCTGGCAGGCAATCCTAAGCAAAATTTTTCCAAAACGTATCTTGCATTTTATGTTGCTGTAAAAAAACTACTGCAATCAGCAATTTCAAATTTTGACGATGCAAAAACAAACAATTAGATAATATTTTTCAATATAAATTTTACTTCTGTCTGGTGTCCTTGAGCCTTGGTAAAACTTTTTGGTATGATGAGCATTGAAACAAGGAGTTTTGCAAAGAACTACTTCACACCGTTCACAAATTACACTGGTCTCCTGTCTCCTGTTGTGCTCGCCAACGTAACGGACGAAAAATTTGACGCACTCAGAGACAAATATTTTGATGACAGCAAAGACTACCGAGCTGAAATTTTTTTCTGTGGTGGTATACCATGAGTTTTGTCTATGGTAAAAATTTCAACTCATTCAGTGCTCACTGTGCAACGATCAAAATAGCAACGATCATTCGTAACAGAAAAAAAGTAGAAATGAATTTACGAGGCTTGCAGAAATGTCTTTTTTACTCTGAAAGTAGAGGTGTGAGAAAACAATAGTTCACATAGAAAATGTAGAGAATTACTTGAGCTATCGAATGATGTGATTATTTTTTAAAAAATATGTTATCACCGTTCCATTGAGTAAAAAAAGATCGTTGTAACAGACGGAAATATTTCTTTGCTGTTTTGTGCGGTGGTTTATGTCACGCTTTTTCATATATATATAAACAGAGCACATGTAAGTCAGAGATGTAACCGGTCAACAAAATCATGACCGGTACCGACCGGTCACCGGGGATCGGCGATCATGTGGCTACCGGACCGGACCGGCCGGTTGACCGGTCATTTTTCTAAAAATTTTGACCGGTAAGGGGTCGGTACTCACATTTCTCAAGAACTCTTTCGGGATAGTACGTGCTATAAGAACAGTGAGCTTTTTGCCTTTCTTCTCATTTGGAATAAATAATTTTCCGTATGTTTTATATGTTATTAGGTGTATCTGGTGTGGAAACAGGAATATTTCAAACAGAGAATAATGAATGAAATTCTTATCTTTCTTTGAGCAGTACAAAATGATACTAAATCTGCTTTTTTCTGTCATATTTTCTACTCATAAGCCAAGCCGACCGGGCCCGGTTCAGTAGTTTGACCGGAATCGGTCGAACCAGCCGGTTGATAACTTTCGACTGGACCGAGATCGGGCGCCCGGTCCGGTTGCATCTCTGATGTAAGTCTATATATTACCTAATATATAGACTTACATGCGCTCTGTTTGATGCAACTTAAAATAAAGTCAACAAACGTGTTAAACTCAACGAAAAAGTGGTTATGAAAATTGGTTTTCCAGAAAAGTCTTTTGACTCTAAAACGTGTTCTGAGCATCGCAGCTTCGAAAAAATGACGCCGTTTTGTAGAGAACTGAATTCTCTATCGATCAGCATAGTTTTTAATTTATTTCAAGAAAATGTCTAGGTGAGGAAATTGAAAACACTTTGATTTTTAATTTTATACATTTTAAAGTTGATTTTCGTGATCAGCGTGAAAAACTACAACTAGTGATGTGCCTCTCGATTTAATTAGGTAGAAAGATTTTTTTAACATTCTGATTTGAAGGGGACCATTGGCTGGCTACGCCGTGTACACACCTAACTGGAGGAGCACTAATTTATGCGATCTGAGTGAGACGAGAATCTGAATCCGCAACAGGCGGTCTCCTTTCAACTGTGCTGGTGCGCGGTTGCTGGTCATTCTCTTCACTGTTCTGAGTTTCTTCCTGTTCATCCTTGGATATCATGGCTACGCAAAGCGTCAAAAAGCGCCTTCACGCCAGTCAAAGGTTGCAAACTGCTTGGTGTCAAAAGGCGTCCGCGCCCGTGAAAGGATTAATAGAAAATACATGCGCATTTATAGAATTTTCTATTATCTTTCTAGTTCATTTAAAAGCATGAATCGTTCGATGCTTCAACAACGTACAACTGAATCACAACAATTTCAATATAAGCCGTTACATTGGCTCGTGTTATCTATTTCATATTTATTCAATTTTCTACTTTTTATAGAATCTGTTGCCTATATTGTTTTGGGTGCATGGGTATTATTTATTTCACGTATTTCTATAGTACTCCTCTTCTCTCTACCTGTCTATCAACGTGAAATTGGTTTTGGAGTATTGATGGTATTTACAGGATCACTTGGCATTATTATTATCGTTATAGGCGGTATAGGTATATTTTTGCAACGAGCAACATTGTTAAAAACTGTAAGTGAGAACAATAAACTATCTGAAGAGAATCACCGAATGTTCATCGGTTAATTTAGTTTATCACATTACTCTGGGTTTTAATGACGTTCGGAGTAAGTACGGGTATTATTGGACTCATTTTTGCAGGTTAGTTAGTATTAATGACAGGCTGCTTAACTAGAGTATGATAGTCGTAAAGTGTGTTTCTTTTAATTTAAAATAGCGCAGACAGATGGATATCTGAGTGATTCAAATGATCTTCGAACCGCGTTTAATAATAATATTGTTACCATTCAACAAGCAGTAAGTCAACCTCTACTATTGATAGTCAAATAAGCTAAAATAGATTTTTTGAATCTTTTAGTATCAGTGTTGTAGCTATAATGATGCAACCCAACAGTGTGTGAGTAATACAGCACATTGTAATCGACTTACATTATTTTCGTCTTGTAGTCTCAATTTTCGGGCATAACATGTTTATCAAGTATATCTAGCACAGAAAAATTGATTTTGGCAATGAATGGTGGAATTGCTATGCTCATGGCTTTTACCATAGTAAGTCTTTGGCTATGCCATATAACTTTTTTCATAATGATAACGCAGTATCTTTCTATTTCTAGTTAATAGGTACAGTCATATTACGATGCTTGAAAAATGATGTCGAATATTATACAAATGGTAAATCTTATATAAGAAGTCAATAGCTATAAGCTGTAATATACAACATATCAAATCAAATATTTTGAATTCTTTGATGTGTCCACCAGTTTAATACTTCAAATTTCGAGAATTATAGTAGCCAAGTAAAATTCAAGCATTTTTATTGCGACCTTAATAGGTCATTATCAAGTGAAGAATAAAACTATGAAAGATGTAAACTTATCTAAAAGACACAAGAAAAACTCGAACTCGTGTTTGTTTTTGAATTCCATTCCATTAATCATCGATTGAAATCAATAAATAAAGGATAGAAAATTATACATGAAAAATGGAGAATAATTCAACAAATATCAAAATATTTTTTTGTTTACTAACTGATATTTAATTTTTATTTTATTCTTATTCTAATAGTGGCGATCATATAACACTTAACGGCACGATCGATTCCTTTACACCATACGGATACATATACAATGGGATGAAGCGGTCTGTACCATTAAGAACAGGTTTTGTAGCTCTAATTACTATGAATTTTTTAATTAACCCTTTCGGGACGGATTTTTTTTTGAAAAAATTAAGCCTATTATTAGAGTTAAAATAGATGTTTATTCAATGAAAAATCATTATCAAAAGTATTTTAAGGTACGATAAACTTGAAAACAACTAGTTATACATAATCCAACATTACATCCTTCACACTGATATCTTGTGTATTTGATTGATTTTTCACGTTGTATTGTATGAGAGCATACATGACACTTCCTTTGGGCAGCTGTTTTTGAGGCAAGTGGCGATGGATAAGAGAACGCAAAGCTCTTATATGTATATATATGTATACAGGAGAATAGGAAAAATATCAATCTAGACGTATTAGAATATATTAGAAAAATCTAAATAAAGAATATATGATAAAGTGAGGAAATACTTCACTATGTAATGTTATAAACTACTTAATACACTGTGGATGTTTACGACACTTTAGAAATACTGATAATTTACTGTACCAACATAGGAAAAGTACTCAACAGACTATGTCCACTTACTTTTGATTGATTTGAAACATATATCATCCTCAAATTTTGAGAAATACTCCAGGTGGTATATATACCACGCCCGTCCCGAAAGGGTTAAGAGTTTATAGTTGTGGTTTTTTTTCAATAAAAGCTTAAAACTATCCATATTAATTTCATGCTCGTTTTCTACGAAATACCATCCAACTTCTGACTTTGGAACAAGCATAAGATTATTTAAATCTGATGAGATAGCATCATTTTTTACCACTGCATAATACTGAACAAATGTTTATTATTGGTAGTTTGATAGTGAATATAGTTAATATCATATCTACTGAATAAAAAAACAGCAGACAATTTATTACTAGAAAAAATAGCACAGTTTTTCACAGCATAATTAGGCCATAAATCAACAATTATGTAATAAAGTAAAAACACTCCTGTTATTAGAGTTCTGACAAATGTGCTGTTAACTTAATCAATCAAACTGTTAGGCACATGGATCATTCTTTATAATTAATATTAATATCTCTGACAAATTGATAACATCGCAAAACATGAGAAATATTTCTCGTTTATTCTCCAACATATGATTCACACAACTAATAGATAGATATTACTATCATTTCTATGTACAAACAGTACGAATAATATTTCTGTGTGTCTGAAAATGTCAGCTTTTAGACGAAAAGATATATAATGAGCATCTAAGAACAATCAAGATTAGTTCTGCACCTTGAACTTAAGGTTAATAGAAATATTTACCTTCTCTCTTATAATTTTTTGATTCTAAATTTAATAATTTCAGCAAATTGCACAATTTGTTCAAGAATTTGTGATACGTGGTCTGTATGTAGCTTTAATTACAACTGCATGATCTTTTACATTTTTGTTGCTCATAACATAACCGAAACTAGAAGAGATGAGATGAGACAATAGGCGTCTAAACGTAAAACAATACCATACCGCTTATTGTCTTTTTTACTATCATTTTTTTAAATAACTTTTTAAAAGTTTCCTCTACTAAATGTATATATATTTTTAAGTCTTTTTCTTTAGTTATTCAAACATTAAGAGGCTCAAAATTAATAACAAAAAATATCATGATTACGATTTTTAAATTTTTTCAAGTTATTTTAATAATTCATATATCTAAAACAGATACAAATGTTTCGGACTCTTTTGAATTGACTTTGAATGTTGATGGAACACAGAACACTTTTCATTTTATCAAATCTTCTCAAACATATCATGAACCTGAAATATTTCAACTAGGAGATGAGTCTCACATACCGAATATACGCTCTCCTCCTACAGTATCAGCAACAACTTATATTGTGAAATATGAAGAAAATGATTACGAAGATATACCGCCTTTTAATTTTGCAAGTGTCATATCTCATCATTCGATACCTACACGAACTGTTCCTTCTCTGTTCGCTGTAGTACAAACGAATGATGGATTATTATATGAAATTGTTCCATCTTTTATGCAGAATATAAAAAGACAAAAGAGACAAATTTTTGATGATTATATTGTTAAAAGAATATCTTTTCGTGATGAAAAACCGATTGTTCGTGAACATATTGTTAACAATGCCCGTGTTAGCATTGATTGGAACAGCTATCCAAAGTACAGATATCGACGTGCGACGAAAAACGAATCAAAAAAATCAAATTCAACTTTAAAATCAAATGATACACTCGATTCTACATTAGAAACAACTATTATTACTCGTGTACCCGCATCTGAAATCATCACACCATCTACACTTCCAACGGCCACCTTACCATTGGATACAGAAAATATCACCATACCATCAGCCGAGAATATCACATTACCAACAATCCTTCTAAAACCTAAAAAACCGGTTAAAAAAGATACCCATGTTTATATTGAATTTGTAGCTCTTGTTGATAGTCTAATTGTGCACGATATTGAAAGACATCTAAATAAGAGTACATTAGAAGCAAGTGAAATATTAAAAATATACTATATTCATGTTGCTATTGGTATTGAACAATTGTATCGACAATCGTTAATGAACGAAACACTCGAAATACATATACGTTTAACAAAAATTATAATTGCCAATGATAAACATCGTTTACCATGGGAACTGTTAGATACATATCGAAATTTAACAGAAAAATATCGTAAATCAATTTATTCTGAACGGCCAAGTGCTAGTAGTGATCTCTTGAGTTTATTACACACTGCTTACAGAGATGCCCATTTTGATAAAAAATTTTTTCAGACAGGAGCAGATCACATTATGACTTTTACTCGAATTGATCTATTAAATCGTGCCGGTTCGGCATATGTTGAAGGTCTCTGTATTCCCGCATATAAATATTCAATTATTCAAGAGGATATAAATGCATTTTCTGTTATATTAACTTCTGCTCATGAATTAGGACATAATTTGGGATTAAATCATGATGAAACGGAAAATGATTGTAATAATAAAGATTTTCGATATATCATGTCACCAGCAAATTCAAATTTAAATAATCGAATACAATTACCATTTTTTTCTAATTGTTCAGTTGCTCAACTAATTCAATTTGCTCACAATAATACATCAACATGTTGGCGTAATAATTTTACAAGTATACAAAATGATACAAAATTTCATATTTTAAGAGAATTAACAATGCATCTAGGAGAAATATTTAGTTTACGTACACAATGTCGACTACAATATGGGCCCAATTCATTTCCATTCATTTCTATTGTGTATGGCCTTAATCAGACATTGTTTGATGAAAATGTTTGTCATCAATTACGATGTTTTAAAAATTATTCTGAAAATTATATGTATTGGCAAGATGGAGCATTTGATGGTAAGTGCAATATTAATGATGCGAATAGACACTTGACTTTAATTTATTGTACTTTTCCCCCCATTAAGGTACGCCATGTAATGAGAATAAATGGTGTCAAAAAGGACACTGTGTCCCAATGTCAATCACTAAACATGAAAAAAATGTGTCGTCATCAAATGTCACAAATAATATTGCCAGACTTGTTGATAAATGGCGTTGTCCATATGGTGATTTAGCGGTTCCTGTTCCAATTGTAAATCTACGCAATCAGACGGGTAGTTTAAGTTGTGTTGATGCATTGAATTTACTTCGTTCGAACGGTATGAATGTTACGTATCTTTGTTATGATTCAACACTGCCACTAAGACGACTTTGTTGTGAAGAATGCAAACGGTAAGCTATTTAGTTATCGTTGATGAATGATCTTTCTTCAGATTTTATTTCATGTGTTAGGCATCTTGTTCCTGAATGTGGAGATCGTAGTCCTGATTGTTCATCATACGTTCAATATTGTCATAGAGCGAATTTTCGATTCAATACCGGATATTCAATTTCAGAATTTTGTCCATATTCATGTAATCTTTGTCCACATTTACCCGCACCAAAGACTACAACGACAACGACAACGACAACGACAACAACCACTACTACTACCACAAAAACAACAAAACAGACATCGAAATCAGGTAAGACGATAACAATACAGACTAAAAAACCGACAACAACAAGAAAGACCACTAAAAAACATTTGTCGAAACCAGTTAAAGTTCCACCAAGAAAATATATTTCACCAACATTTAACGATCATAATTGTATCGATACCACCGATTGTGAACAATTACACAAAGTATTTATGAAAATAAAAAAAGATAGTGATTGGTGTACAGGACATGAACGATCATCGTTAATGATGGGTGGTAAATATTTTATTGAAGCATGTCCAAAATATTGTAATGTTTGTAATATTACGTCAGAATGTGATCGATATAAATTATGTCAAAATAATGGTACGTGTATTGTGGATAAATATGGCGTTTATAAATGTTTATGTGATTCATATCACTATGGAACATTATGTGAATATAGACGAACTTGTTTAGATAAACCATGTTCAAAAAATGAATTTTGTTTTCAGGCGAGAGCTGAAGATTATGTATGTTTATCGAAAGCAGATAAAGAGAACTTAAGAGTTATTTTGGGTGATGTTAAATAGAACTAAACAATAGTGCTAATAAAACTTTTATATATACACGGATTTATACAAAATTGTACGGATTTGTGTACACAGGATAAGAAAATGGTCATCTAAACAAGAAACGTATGTTCTAAAGCTCCTTCGCTAGTCGCTGACCTGAAGACCAATATCTAAGCTCATCAACACCGTAGTACACTGTAGTACTACTAAAAGACATTGGAGAGACGTGCTGTTCAACTACAGATCAAGAACGTCTCTCGTTTATTCTTAGTAGCATCACTTCACGATTGATATATCATAACATAGTACGGTGTCTCGTGCCTTTTTAAGCTCCGATCACTGTGTAAATGAGGAAAAAAACTGCCCTCTTTCCATAATATCGCATGCAGTACCTCATGTTCAATTAAAAATTTGACAACGATCAGTATAAACTAATTATCATCAAGTAAAAAGTACATAAATTTAATACCACTAGAACTGATGTTTTTAATGGCGACGATGACGAATTTGATTTTCGATGATATTTATTATGATTTGTAAGATAATCTGAGCGTGATGATTTCCATTTTGGTGTTATTAATTTTGTCCTGTTTCGTGGTTGTGCAGTAGTATTTAATGGCGGTTCAGTGGGTGCAATGCACGGCACGGTATAATTGGCGACAGCCGTTTTTGCTGCTTGTACGAGAGGAAAATGTCCTTGATTGCATGATTGACCACTACTGTCATCAAAATTAACTGGATACAAAAATACACCGGATAGACCTTGATCTTTGGCGTAGTTCACCTAGAAAAAAGATCTTATTTTATACAATTCCAATTTGCACTAGCTATATCAATCTTACCTTGAGCGCTATACTTTTCGGATCGTCATATCCAATAACTTCATCACCTTTAATCATAATTGGCACTTTTCTATCATCTAGCCAAACATGTTGCCAACCAGACACTAAATTACGACATAACTAAAATACAAAAAATATTTTTAATCAGAGAATTAAAAAAAAATTCAATAAAATTATCTATACTTCTGTATAACTAGCACTTTGTAAACAATTTGCTGGTGATCCAATATCATGTAAATCACTAGTTAGTCGAAACTTTTTACCAAAAACCGGTAGACCCAATAGTAATTTTGATGGTTGTACATTATTTGATGATACTAAATATCGAATAGAGGCAGCCTAAACAACAATTTACTAGACTAATTTAAAAGCTAATAAATTAATATTGTGTTCAAGTACTTGATTAAGATCTAAATCAGCACCACTATGTGTTGTAGCTGAATATAATGAACTTGGATGTTCGGCTATTTTATCCTGGGAACCACGATAATCAAAACCTTGTATATTGAGCCAATCAGCACATCTAAAAGTAAATTCATGGATAAAACGAAAGATGTAATGGAGAAATCATACACTAACTTTGAAAGTTCTTCGACATCATAACGTGATTCTAAATGTTTTTTTATACCAGACGTTGTTACTGTAATTAATAAACGTTGACGTCCCGTTCTTTCGGCTTCTGCGGCATATTCTTCTTGTAATTCCTAAACTTAACAATAATAGTTTATTACCCCTGATACGAATAAAATATTCTAAATGGTACAAACATACACGACAAAGATTTGTTAATTTATTTTTATCTTCAATGAGTGGTGGATTAGGTGTTTGTGAGAGTCCAAGTGCTTCCGATGGTTCAAAATTAAGATCAATACCATCGAATTCATGTGTACGTAAGAGTTTTGTTGTTGATATAACAAATTTACTTCGTGATTCATTTTTTGACATCATTTCATCGGCACGTTTTATCGCATAATCTTGTCCACCTATTGCTAATAAAATCTTGACATCTGGATCTTTATTTAATTTAAATTCTTTTAATGGATTTGACCATACACCTTTAAAGATGTCAGAATTTAAATGTATTATTTGATATAATTATGTAAAGTTTCAACTCCTCACCTGTTAATGTATTATCTTCTTCGATTCGTGCAAATGTATAAATAATATGTGTACACACTTTTGGCTCTGGATGAATTCCAGTCCACGATGAAAAATAACACAATACTTTAAATTCACCACCACAATCAGCAATAATGTAATGAATATTCAACAGACTAATGAAAAATGCACACAAATTTGTTTGAATTAAACTTTCCCAAATCATTTTGTTTTAAAAAAAATTTTTTTATATAACTAATAATAAACACAATAACACGTTATCAACATTATTGTATTACTTAATTTTTTTTATTGTTCATACCGCATTTAGACTAAAGCTTTATTAGTCGACATCAAAAGGTCAAACGAATAAATATAAATAAATCAGACGATAAGATTTAGAATAAGAAACATAGTCATTTTCCTATGTACAATTGGATTAATACGATAAACGACGGAAGAAAAGGAACGACGAAAAAATTTATCAATAGATACATACATTTCTCGCGTTCAATGATTTAATCCTAAATTTCTACGTACAATAACAAAGAATTGATGAAATTATATTTAGTTTCTCTAGACTGTCTATTACAGATTCAATATTAATATTTTCTTTTAGGATATTAGCGTTATAACTTGCTGCTTACTTCAACTATAGTGACATTATCGCAAGGAAATCTCTTTTTGTTTCCTCATATAATGAAACTATTAAACCATGGGTATAAATTCTCGAAAATAAATTCTTTAATTAATCAACAAACCCATATGCAAACAAAAAAATGATGACCTATTGAACATATAAATACTCGTGTATTTTCGAGAGTTATTGTAGGTAATTAATATTCGATAGAGAATTATATTTTATTCGTATATGATGGTATTCTAACCCTACCTGATCATTGCTTTTCGAAACAAAATCATCATGATATTTTTTAATTAACCAGTCATTCTATTGTTTAATCATAGTCATATAGTGTAACGATTTCGCGATTAAAATTAGTTTTTGAAAGTTTGTTTTACAAATCGAAAACAACACGAAATTTTAAGACTGTAAATGAGAAATGCACATGTGATTCTAAGAGAAGGTCACTTATTCGATTTCACTTTTTGATTGGTATACATGTATTTTACTTACATATTTATAATACAAGTTCTTGTGCAAAAAAGAAAAGAATTTCATATATCAATAAAAAGAAGTCGAGCAAACACGATAGTACAACTCTATGAAGATAAAAATAGCTGCATAAACACACAAAAAAAATGAAATTTTCATCTAATTTCAAGAATGAAATGACGAGGCAAAGTTTCTACATAGGGGGAAGACAAAAAACCAAGGATCGATAGAACAAAAATAAAAAAATGAAGTAAAATTCAAAATCGTAGCCAACCACAAGCCAAATACATGAGTTAACATACAACTTGATATCAGAACGTAGTCATTGCAAAAAAAAACAATGTTCAGTATAGTTTATAAATAAAAAACAAACAATTCAATCAGGCACGAAACGCTTTAAGAACAGATCAAACTGACTAGTTTATTGCAGAAAAGAGAGAGAGAGAGAGAAACAAAGCGTACAAAATCTAAGAGTTTTACGTATTTAAACAGAGTATATAAAACAAACATTAATTTTGTGATAAAATATCCGTTACATTGTTGTTTGAGTTATTAAGAAAATGTGGTTGGTTATCGATGACATATAAAGCCGCTGATATTGAGTTTTCTGCCTGTTTAAACACAAAATAGATATTTTAAATAATTTGAAGAAAGAGCGCTACGAGGAAGCATCAACGGGTGATGGTCTTTGTTTTTTTCTGGATGTTTTTTCTCACTCTTTAAGTGCATTAATTTCATTCATCATTTAGTTTAAGTCTACTTACAACATATTTATCATCGTTTGTTATCATGCTATGAAAGTCGATATCTTCTGGTGATTGTAATGTTGAATTATGCTCTAGGACATCTCTAAAACTGCCTAATGAAAGATCAGACATCTAAACAACAAAAAAAAAGAATGTATGAAGATCTATAGTTAGAAATACGACTTATACACATGCTACCTCATCTGGCCAATCACAATCTAATCGAAGTCGTGAATCTTTGCTCTGTAAAGCGGCATTGACTATTGTGGCTAAAGAATGACATTATGATTAACATTAATTAGTTTCAGATACGGAAGTATCATACAACTTACTACTTAAAGATATTGTACTCATATTGGTGTTATCATTCATCAGATCGTCTTTAAATAAGAATTTTATGTTAGCAAATAGAAAAAAATTGTCTGTATATGAACGTACTTTGATCAAATTCAAAATCAACGTTACTCATTTTTCGCCTATCATTTTTTATTGTGGTCAAGAATGATTTATTATCTTGCTTTTGCTGCATTGACTGTGTTTTTGCCGATACAAGATTATTTGCTGCCAATGCATTTTGAACTGCATCTAAGAGAAAAAAAAGAAACAGAAAATAGCAAAAACTAGATCTACTGAACAAGAAAAATAATCTTACCACTGAGTAATGTTTGCATATTTGATGCCCGAATAGCTTGATCACCATATCGTAGCGGTTTTCTTACCTAAAATCAATAAAATAACAAGTAATGGCGTTTATTTTAATACAAAAATACAATTTTGATATACTCGTTTGTGTCCAGATAAAAAGGTTGAATCATTCATCATTCGTTTAGCTGCCGTCGCTGCTTGCTCTGCAGCCAAAGATTGAATTAATGGATCATCAATTGGTTGAATTACTGAATTTGTCGAATTTAATCGAATATTATTTGAATTCGAAGTTGTAACGGTTGTTGTAATGCCACTATGGTTACTGTTCGATAAAGGATTGGACGCTGAGACGCTTGTTGTAAGTAATGAATTAATTGTTGTCTGCTGTTGTTGTTCGAAGGTTGACAAATACGTTGTTGGCCAAGAAAATGGTGAAAGAAGATTTTGCTCGGGTATTAATACACTAAAGTGATTAAACAACAACAACAACATTTATTAATTATCAGACGAGGATGGAATATTATCAGAATGATTCTTACTTGTCTAAATCATCCATTGATTGTACATTGATTGTAATATTAGAATTTTGTTGAATTTGTTCATGAGGGTATTGGACATTAGATTCATAGTCATTCGGCAATTGTTTTGGTGTCTGTAATAATATATTTACATCATTTTTTATTAAATTTTTTTCATTCGAGTTTGAAACAATTTTAGTTGTTGTAGGTGTTATACGTCGATTATTATCTTTTCCATGATGATTACAACAACTACATAAACATTTTGTACGTTGTTTTTTTGTAGATTTTTTCGTCATCGTTTTTGTTTCTTTTTGGACTGTTAAATTAACTAAACATTGATTAGCTAATTGAATAATATAATGTAAAAATGTCAGATCATCTTCATCTTTATTGGCAATGTTATTTCGTCGAGTAAAATCGTAAACAAAACGAAGTTCTTTTGGACGTTGGAACATTTTATGAATTTGACCAATAGTTAACGAAGAGAGAAAATTATTTGTTCGACTAATACCGTTACGTAAATCAGCCATGGTGATTTTTGGAGTTGTTGGTATCATGGGTGCAGGTGTGATTTGAATATTGTTGACATCATTATTAACAGTTATTTCAATTTGTTTACTTGCCAGTGGAATATCAATTTCCATTTCATTGTGAACAGCAATCATATCAGTGTCAACTTCATCCTCGGAACACACCTTAAAGTGAGCAACTTTAATTTTAACTAGTTCAGGGTGTCTACAAGTAACTTATTTTACCTCTTCATTTAAATTAATTATATCATAACGATGTTTAAATAAAAGATTAGAATTACCACTGCTATCTGCTTCATCTTCAGTTATATCCAAATTCGACAGCATAAATCCGTGTTCATTTGTAGTCTCTTGATTATATGCTGCTTTTTTTGCTGCCATAATCATTGCCGTACGTGCTAAACTTGACTTATTTAATCCAGATGGCAGTGATAATAAAGAGGATACTGGTGGTGGTGGTGACAATTTTTTCTGAAGTGGTAAATCAGATATCATTTCACTTTCTGATAAATTATTTCTTTTGCGTGTTGTTAATGTTGGAGTTGTAATTGATGAAATATCGACGCAGTTATTATTGTCAGCAGTAGGTAAAGATTTTGTTGTGGATGAACATGACTTTTCCGAGTCAGATGTGGAACGACATCGTGCATTCAATTGTTCGTTTATAGTCTTTTTTATGAGGTCATCTGTTGTTGATACTAGTGCTGATACTGCTGTATCTTGACAAACAGATGATGAATAGATACGATGCGGATACAAAATGATTTGTTCAATATATTCATTGTGTTGTTCATCATTAATATTGGACTGAGAACATGATGCTTTAAATAACTAAAATTATTTTTAGTTAAGAAAGCAATATGTATCAAGCAACAATTATTCTGACTTTTCCTCCCAATACTTGAATATAACATTAAGTACAAAAAAGGATACAGATGCTGCTTGTGTATTCAGCTGCCAGTATTGTGTTAATTTATCAGATAATTCGAATATCGTTGTCGTTTGAGATAGTGTCATTTCAACGTGCGGATGACGCATGGCAAGACCAACACGCATGTAAGCAAAACTATTTGCCGGACTCAGTAATACTTTGACATGATTCGGCAATGGGCGATCCGATTGTTTTGTGGAACCTAAAACGAAACTAACTGTAAATGATTAACCGTTTTATGTTTATTCAACTTACTTATAGCAGTTGATGCTTTCGGAGGTTTTAGAGCTTTTCCAATTATTGAAACATGTTCTCGATGACCTTTGACACGAAGAAATGCATTGCCATTACGAATCAGCTGATGTAATACCATTATCGTGGGTTTTTTATCAAAACCTATAAGTAAGAATAATCACAGATATTTGTATTTGAAGAGATTGAATAAGAATTACATTTGACTTTTGGTTTTAAACATAAGTAAGCCAAAACCGATCGAAGTTCAAGAGAATCAAGATTGTTTTTTTCCTCTAAAAAAAGTAAGCGAAAATAGCTTGACTGGATGGAAATAATGAAGAAAGAAGTTAATTCCCAGAAACGTAATGTTTTATAATCTGATAAATAGAAAGAAATTAAGTTTCTGTCTCCTACCATCAGTCAATGTACAAAGTTTTGAAACTGTTCTAAACGAACGATAATAGAAACAGCGAATTTGTCCATTTGTTCGTTTTTGCGCGTCGGGATTCACCAAACTTCGTCGCGCATTAAAGCATCGTCCTAGTGCTTCAAAATTTTTTCCATACTGAACGAAACAAAAGAACATGATTTTAGAAAGATATTTTTGGTCTCCGAAACGATCGTGTGTCTCATACAATTCGTAGAGCGGAAAAAAATTGTTTTTGTTCTTCCATTGTCCATTTTGCCTTATCTTGCTGTTTTGGTACAATTTCTTTGGGTTTTTTACTTTTTGGAGCTGGTTGAGATAATTGAATAGCTAAAACAAGCAAACACAACTCGATAAATAGAATAAAAACTTAACTGTCACCTAATTGCTTACGAGGACTACGTTCACGCTTTGGACGTTTCGCAATTTCTTTTGTTCTCGCAGCAACTGAATCCTCAATCTCTAGTTTTGTTTCGCATTTCTCATCCAAAATCGATTTTTTATCGATGAGACTTTGGTTCATCAGGACTATCAACAAAAAAGTGAATAATCAATATTTTTTCTAAGAAACAAAAGAGGATTATACTGATCAACAGAAAACAGAAATAGAAAATGAAGCGTGTCAAGAAGAAAAAAACTTTTTTTTCTCTTTACATGTCAAAATATTTTTCTGTACATCAGATAGGTTATAGTTAGCCAATGATAAAGTCGTCTTTTGACATCGTCTATGCATCGTTCCTGGATCTCATATACTAGAAGAAGTTAAACTATAGTTTAAATCGTGATGTTGAGTAGAAAATGCGAAGCGGATATAACAAATACAGTTTCTTTTTCCGAAAAAATTCCACAAGCATTACAAAATAGAGATAAAAATACTTGATTTGTTCCGCATATTTGTGATTGGTTCGATTTTCCGTTTTTACATTCAAAGCAAAAATAGACATTTAATGGAGATCATAAAGAATTTTCAGACTTCTAAATTTTTTCTAAATCTTTTGACATTTCTAACTCTGCAAAATTGAATGAGAAAATTTTCTGTGTGAATGTGGTAGTAAAAAAAAGTTTAGAGAAGGTGGCAACTGAAAAATAATCAAAAACTTTATTTTATTAGTGATAGGCAAAAGTTTTCTGGTCTGGTTTCTCAGAAAGAAACAGATACAGTGTCATCACGCCACCTCTATTGCGATGGGTCTGTGTTTACGTCTGTCTATGGCTAAATTTCCATCAATGTGATCCCTAGTCGAGTTAATGATTTTCTATTGCAAGAAAATTATAATGTGCGGTGCAAAAAGCAATTTGCACAAAAAGTCAGGCGATATTTTTCTGAATTTCCAGAGCACTAGACATTTGTTATTTATTTTGTGGAAAGAGCAATCTAGTATCTACACTGTAAAAAATTTGAGTTCTCCGTCCATTTGTTCCATATAGAGAACCGCCTAACGGAACCAATTTGAGTTCTGGAAAATCTGTAAAACTCTTATAAGTTCCCCAAAAAAAGTTTCGTTTTCTTCATAATCTGAAGAACTCGAAATGAGTTCTCTATTTGGGATAAATGAAGAACTTAAATTTATATTGTTTTATAGGTTCTCCAAAAATCAGAAAAACAACTCACTTCTTTTTCAATCTAAATAGGCGAGATCATTATGAAAACCGAATACTTTCGAGAAACTGAACAAAAGAAAATTAAAAACTACGCTAGTTTGCAGGGAATTAAATGCTTACAAACTAAAAGAAAGTTCGTTTGCAAAATGTAATAAGCTGATTAAGGAAAATTAATAACCTTTTTGCTATTATTAAGAAAACTGATTATTTGTTGTCCAAAACAATAGAGAAAGACAAAAAAATGCTTCTAAATCCGTACAAAATGCTGTTATTAAATCTTTCTCAGAAGTCCAAAAATTCCTACAGTACGTTTTCTAAAAAACTCTGATTTTTCAGGTAAAAGAACCCATTGTTCTCCGCCCAGGAACGTTTTTATTTGAAAAGTAAACCTATAAACGGAATTAGCGCGTCGAGTTGCATCGGATTATGTACAACTCTCTAAAAAAAAAGGGTTATTACGAAACTTAAGAGGGTATAGGGAAGTGCAACCATTTCTAAACCTTTTTAGGTTTCGTAGA